CAGGCACTGCAGGAGAGCAGGGATCTTTTCCATCTACTTCATCATATGGCACCAATTATCTCTCAGTAGAGCACAAAACGTAATCACAACCAGATTTCGGGCCAGGATACTGCAACCTGTTTCCACAGCCGCCGCCTCCTCCTCTTGGAGAGTCCTGTCATTAATCCTATAAACTGTTTGCTGTTTATATTTCTTCCTATAGAGCGACAAGAAGGCAGGAATGACTTACCACTACAGCATGATTATAATATTATTTTTCATTGCATGGCGTCGCCTTTGGGAATTGATTCTGATGTGGCTTCAGTGACCAAGAATTGAATGACACTTTATATCTCCCACAGCTCTAGTCCTTCACAGGAGAGGTCAAGCAGGCTAGATGTGCAAATCCTTCAGTATCTTCTGCATACATGTATTATCCAATGTTTTCTTTCCGATGGCTCACTTGATCCTCCTGCTAGTTCTAAGGCATTAATTCTATGCATTCATAGTAACATTTTATCCCAACCATATAAAGAGTGGACATAACTGGAGTAGAAAAAGGGATCTGCCCTCAGATTATCAACAAACAAGAGCAGTTGCACAGACTCCACGAACCATTTGACACAGTTGGGACAGGCCACGTGCTTGATCCCTAACTCCTGAATGTCTGAAGAGGGGTAAGTCAAAAGTCGGACAGGCCAGACCACGACCACCACCTAATCCTGGAATGTCACCCACACCTTTCAAAGGAACCTGTGGAACCATCCCGGTTTCCCCAGGGGAGGAAAGTGCCACCAAGAAAAGCAGAAAGGATCAAGGATCTCTTTAAAGCAGTAACAAAGCTGGGGAGCGCTCTGGAAATCATGGCCCCCGCACTCTGGGCCTCTGCAGGATCCCAGAGCTATTGGTAAGACCCAAGATCATAAACCGGCTGGAAAAACGTGAGCGGATGAAAACTACTCTGCTCAGCTCCATAAAAGCTCAAGCGCTTGACAAATACGGTGGCAATTTTTCCAAGGAAAAGATTCAGGATAATCTAAGATGACTGAAGCAAAGGGCGTCACATAAAAGAAGGTCTCCTGTGTCTTAAGACATAATAGAGTTGTGAAACTGGTTCAAACTAAACAGGAACTGAACCAAAGCGTTGGTTTACAAAGAAAAGAGGTATTTTGTGGTTTCGGATGCCTTCTTTCTACCCTCTTCTAAATCCTCTATCATACTGCAGTGTTAGCTCCAAAATGCTCATTTTCTTGCAAAAATACAAATATCTGGGTAGCTGCTGTATCGCGCCTGTTCTTCAGAGCACCCTCAACTTGGGCATTTTCTCAGCCTAAGACATTGGAGGCAGCAGCTCCCGTCCTGCCATCGCTTCTGCCGTACGTTCATCACTCCATTCCCAGCCTCCTCCTGACTGAAGCACATGCAATCTAAAATAATAAATACTGACCGGGACAACAGACCTGAGGTCACATCAATTTTTCAAAGCACATAGAGGTACCTACAAATAAACTGTTGCTGACTGATGACTTAGACTTACTATGGATCCACCCTCAAAATGTAAAAACTATCTCTCAACTCAGTAATACATACATTTTGAAATATGGTATGAAAACATATTATAGCCCATAGAGATGGAGAAAAACCACTGAATGAACTTATAAATCAGCAAGGAGACTGCAAAACACACCCCGTCAAGCAAAAATATTTTGCAAGGGCTATGAAATATATACCAAATGTCTGAATCAATAGCAAAAAGGAAAATTGTGCAAAATATAGACAATGTTACGGAGCACAGGATGTAATCAAAGACGTGCAGGGGGACTCAGGTGGTCATCAGATCTGTCCCTTACCCCCACTCACAGTCATAAATAGCTAGGACATTCCAGCTGTAGCAGCAGCATAGCTGAACGATGGTCTAAGGATCGAGTAAGGCAAGGTTCAGAAGTGAAAACTGTTATTAAACCAACTAATACACTGGGGAAAAAAAAGAAAAAAAGAAAAAAAAATGTATCTGGTGGGACACTAACCCTTCCTGAGATCTGTCAAACCTACAAGCCTTGCTTTGCCAGGGTCAGCCCTGATAACTTGGGTTCAATGTGCTTTAGAAGTCCTCCGTGTCCTCCTCCGGCAACACACTCTTGTCAGGCTATCAGAGAGATTTTTCTCCTGTTTAAGCTGAGTCTTTCTTAGAATTTGAAATCATTACTTCTGATCTTGTCCAGAGCAGGCTACTCCTTTTACAGTCTTACACACAATGGAAAACTGTGATCATGCCCTTTGAGTTTTCTCCTTTTTTGGTTAAGCAACCCAATACCTTCAATATTCCTCCCAATGTTTCCTTGACCTCTGAGTACCCTCCTTGCTTTCCCTCAGTTTCCTTCCACGTTCTTGCAGGATACCTGCAGGGCAAGTTCTCCAGCATGCAAGTGGATCAAATAAAATGCTGTCACTCCACACGCAGCTGCCCTGCAATGGTCACATTACAGACGAATGCTGGAACGGCAGCGCTGGCTCGAGGCACAAAATTCAAGCAGTGTCTACGAGCAGCGGATGAAAGGGAAGTTCAAGCAAGGCGTGTAAGAACAGAATAAACCTACAGCAATAATTTCCCTTCCGCTGCTCTCACAGCCCCACGCTGCCATGTGGCCCAGGCATTCCCCGAATCAGAAGTGATACCAATTTGATCACCCCTGTGTGTACCGAGTCCGTGAATTTGCCTCCCCACTTCTGAGACCAGGTGTGCTTCCCGCTGCCATAATGACCCATGGCAATAAGCTCTGCTGTTTAATTCCACATTAAGAGATCCCTACCTGGCATATTCCGCACTGGCTTCCTGACGACTGTATGTTTTTCAGCAGCTGTACGACTGTACAAGGAAGGCCCACGAGCCACCGCACCCAGCTGATCCCCCCACATCACACGGGACTTCACAGACAGCCCCTCGCCAGGCTGGGCAGCCCCAGTCCATTTCATTTTCCTTCCTATGGAAGTCTCCCATTATCCCTGTCACCCTTCTCCATGACAGGTCTACTTTATCCTTCAACATTCAGACCTCAATTAATTCAGAAAAGATGTAATGATGTTACAATGATGTCTCTATTTTCCTCAGTAATTCTTGTCTAGTTCACTTTTTTCCTGCTGCTAGGCATGGAACTGAATGTCACCTGTCATTCTTAATGATGTTACAATGATGTCTCTATTTACCTCAGTAATTCTTATCTTGTCTAGTTCACTTTTTTTTCCTGCTGCTGGGCATGGAACTGAATGTTACCTGTCATTCCGTAACCCTTTCCTCTGCATCTGGAAAACCTTCTGCAAATTCCTGTTTTTCATACCTTCATATTTGCTAAACATCTTCTTTGAAAAGAAAACCAGACACATTTGAAGGGGGCTGGATGGTGTGCAGGAATCAGAGAAGTCCAGGAAGGGCCACGCTCTGCAGTGAGTGGTTTATGCAATATGTGAAGCACTAACAACGCCGTCCCCTGCGTAATGAGGCAGGCTGCATTGCTCTGAGCGCAGCAGAATGAGTCACATAAATTTTACGTTCTGCACATGTGTCCCTACTCAAAGAATTTCCTTAAGAATGCTGGTTGAGAACTTCCAGGAAATTACAATAGTTTGAATGAATTTGGAAATAGCTATATGCTTACAACATGATCATAGTAGGTGCTTTAGAAAGGAAGCTGAGCAATATATTTTAAAATATTCAGCATATCGTATTCAATTTTAGCAAGGCCATAGCATTCAGCTCTCCAAGTGAGATCATCCAGTCTCAAGTTTCCCATGTAATTTTATGCAGCGAAAGTTACACAACTAATTCTACCAACGAGCTATTTCAAATAATAAGCTGAGATTCAAAAAAGCTGAGATAAGATTTCTCAGAAATTTCTGCACAAAATAAACTTTTAAAACAGATACTTGATGGGCAGAGGAAATATTTTCTGTCATAGTAAGAGGTGATATAAATGACTGGAAATTAAATTAATTTTTGATTCAGCTACTCTTTCTGTGAACTGCAAACAGCTGGACTATAAATCACTGACACCTACCACCAAGTGGTTACATGCACGTAGATTCCTGTTAAAGTGACTGCTGCTCAGTCTAAGAAAGAACTTCACAACCCAGCCTAAATAATATTACCCTGAGGAAGAGTAACAAACATCCATCTTGCTGCCCCTCATAATCAGCTTTCATGCACTTGAAAATAAGTATCCAACGCTGATGAAAGCAGAAATCATTAACAACCTCCGGGAAGAGGTGAGGGACGCTCCAGCCCAAAACAGAGCACAAGGCTTCTCCTCCTGGTGCCTTTCAGTAGCTTTTTATTGGCCGGAATATGTGGAATCGAGATCCTTGACCTGCACCATCTCTGGTGCAAGTTAATTCTGGTAAGTCAGCTGATTGAACAGGCTCACGTTAATGAAGGAGACACAGAGCTGGGCCGAGGCAGCAGGTGAAGCAGGAGGGTTCAGTATGAGCCTGTGCTGGAAGCTCCTCTCTCAGGAGTACCTGGCCCAGCCCAAACCACAGTACAGAGCACTCCAACGTTCCCAGGCCATTTAATGCAGCCCTGGCACTGGCTCATGGCCAGGAGGAGACAGGCAGAAGAGGCACATTCCCCCTGGCACCTGACCCGCCATCGGGCCCCACGGGTTCTGACAGCCCGAGCTAACGAGTCTGCCTCTTTAGCTCACTTTGAGACAGGGCATGCTCTTTTCTGGAGGGTTCTCTTTAGGTTCCCTATATGACAGCCAAAAATCCATCTTTGCAGTCACGGTCAGGGCAATATGGAATATATGAGGCTGCATTACGTCTCTGAAGGAAAAGAATGAGAGTCTTGGGAGGTCTAAAAAAAGCTGCTACTCATAAATGACATGGTTGTGCAAGAGCAATGTACCTCCCCATCATGAGCATTCATGTGCTAGAGGATCTTGGTGGCCCACTTTCCTGCATTCTGTGATATGACTTTCACCACGGTGTTAAAAGTTCTTGAAATCTAAGTATCCCAGACTGCTTACCTTCGATAATACACTGATCAGGGATAGGAATTTTCCTCCCCATCTCCATGACATATGCCTTCACTTTACCCAGGTTTTCCTTCAAGTGCAAGTAGAGCTTATCCTGGTATTCCACAGGATTCCTTATTGTCTCTGTACTGCCTTCATGGATCTTTTCGTTAGCAGACTCTGGCAGAGTTTCTGACTCTGTGTAATCGGTACTTTGGCGAGAAACCAAAGAATTCCCCAGTTGCACTTCTTCAGCATCAACACTAAAAGGCAATTTATCATTTTCTTGGCCAATGTAGATCTCAGTAAAGGAGATACCAGCACTTATGTCCCCGTTCTCCTGGTCTTGTCCCGTGTCTGTGTTTGCCACCTTCATGCGGACTGCATGCAAAGCCAGACTTTTGGATCTGGAAAGTGTTAAGGAAAGGAGAATTGGTTTGCAATAGAGGTAAGACAGAACACAGTGCGCTGAACAAGCACAGAAACATCACCTGAACGTACCCTCTCCCAAGCTACGTTTATGCAGCTGTTTCAGAGAGCAGAATGCAGGGCTAATTTAGCTAGAGGCAAATACCTTTTCCTAAACATGCATTTCCTATAGCAAAACTCAAACTACAGATTTAACAAGCAAATGAAAGCAAATAATAGGCATATATCCCAACATCTGTATGCATGGGAGGAACTAGCCAAGCTATCTATAGGGAACTTAAACACGGCACTGGATTATGTGCTTTATTGATCACATCATAAAAATGCTATCCAGCAGCAATTTAACTGAACTTAACTTGAAATAAGATTCAGCCTCCAGTTCCTCCATGCCTATAGGCCGAGCATTAAATCTGTATAATGAGTAGGAAGGCTAGAAGTGAAGCGATGAAGAAATTTGGATTTGCCCTGGTTTGAACAGCTACATAAAATGCTAAGCATTGCTGAACATCCCTGGAAAGGCATTCCTCCCCACCCACTCTTTTCTCCATATCCCTTCTTCCAAAGCCATCTCCTTGCTCCAAGGCACCGGGGGCCAGGACCACCGGGGGCTGGTTCGGCACATGCACTTGTGGACACAGCCGGGACCAGGGATCTGCTTTGCACTGAAGAGGGGACAGGACACAGGTGGCAATGTCCCGTCACCAGGGCAGCAGGGAACGCTGCAGATCCCGTGTGCCAAATACTACAGCAGGAAGAGGAAACCCCCGTGAACCTGGGCTGCCCCAGTGGCCTAACAAATGCAGCATATTCGATAAAAACGTTGACTCAAATGCTTGATATATTTTACTAGCAAAAATACCCAAGAGAGGGCTAGCGTTTCTAGCGTTTTCTGTACGTTTCCTTATTTCTTATTCCTCATGCTAATTTAGGGCACAGAAAAGGTTAAGTAAATAATTTAGAAAGATTTTATCCAGTCTTTAAATTCATGCATGTACGACTTGGTCAAAATTAGACTTACGATGCCCACAGGTATTACACAACAGGACTGATCTCTCAGTGTTTGGATAAAGTTTCATTAGAAAACTGACATGCAGGAGAAGCACTCATGCGTTTTGCAGAACCATACCTGTTAAATCTCATATCCTTCCTTTCTTCTTTAGAAACCTGCCCTAAACTGTATCGGCGCACAGAGCCAGGAGTATTGTTGTCAACACTTATTTTTTCTTCAAAAGCCTGTATTTTAACTTGCAGCTTTTCATCTTCTTCTTTTCCATTCATAACAGATTTTAAATCCTCCAATGGTACAGCAGATTTTGTTTCGGCATCACTTTCTATCCTAAGGAAGTAAAAAGCAACAATTTAGCTCCAGCACACTCTGCTCAGGGCGATGCTGACACTGCATTTCAGCCTTTGACCTGCAAAATGTATCTGGTAAAATAATTATGTTTCAGCAGAGACTTTCTTAGAGGCTAATTAATCATTTTCAGAAACATCCTTTAGCTCAATGTCTCTGACACCCGGATCAGAAACACGGAACCTCTCTGAAATCACTGCAAGTTGCATGTGCTCTATCTGCCTACGTAAAAAACAACTCTTTTTCCTGACAGCCACGTGGGAAAATCTCTTGGAGAAAATTTTTTTTCACTGAACTCGGGCCCTTCTTCCAGGCTTACTGAACAGCGACTTGTGACATTATTTTCAAAAACCAAAAGCAGAGCTAACTGCAGATTTTATAAAAGTCTCTGGTTTTACAAGCCTGACAAAAATATGTGCAGTTTCTACAGAATTACTGCAGTCTGTGCAAGGCAGAGGGTTCCCAGGAGAGTCCCGGGAGAGCAGCCCCGCGCCCCAGCCCTGGCAGGCAGGGAGATGCTCCCAGGCCGGGTGCCCAGGTCACATCTCCCAGCCCAAAGCCCCAGGCCGGGCGCCCCCCGCACGCAGCGCTGCCGTCAGCCCCGTGCAGGGGGCTCAGCCCTCCCAGCATCAGGCCGGGAGCCTGACCCCGAGGTCGGCGCTCTCCCACCTGAAAACACAGCCGAAAAGGCAAAACCCGCACGGTTTGGGGTGTTTTTAGGCCAAAGGAAACGCCAACAAACCCGGGAGCAGCGCTGGCTGCTGCGGAGGGAACAGCCTGTGTTCTCGCTGCCACTTCCCAGCTCCTGGCAATCGCAGGATCCCGACTGCCACGGGAACACAAGGCAGAACCAACCACTGCATCCTAAACACCCCCAGGGACTAAGTAAGTCTCACCCGGACCGTGCAGCAATCAGAGGCAGAAGCTTCCTACAGAACTAGGGGCTTCGCAGTATGTAGTTATTTCTTTTTAATTCTACCCACAGTTCCCAAACAAGCTCATTTTGCTTCTGACTAATTTTGGGTAGAGATTTTTTGTTTTTGTTTCTGCTTTCTTTTCCCCCTTAGAAGCAAACATCTGAATGGCCAGATCTGTAAAGTATGAACATGGAAAGCCACAAATGAGCAGCATCTCAGCAAGCCCTGCTCACAGCTGGGAGGCCTGCTAAGAATTTCCAAAATTGCAAATCACCAATTGTGGAAACAAAGAATGTTGGAAAAACAACCACCAAGGCTAGTGCCTCACTAAATGCACGTTTTCATTTGTTTTGATAACGGAAGTTCAGGATATTTCTCCAGAGAGTTAGCAAGTTTTGTCTTGTTTTGTTTTTAATTTAGGCAATATATTAACACAGCAGAACATTCTGAAAAAAGATATTCTTCTGTAATAAAAAACCTCAGTATGACCTTTGCTGAGAAATCTTTCTGGAGATGTGGGACAAGATTTAGTTTATTAGAATAATGTCACTCTCAAATCCCTCTCAACAGTGCTCTCTTTGTGGGAACTAAGCACTAGCAAAAATAACTGCTCCATATCCATATATATGCACGTAAACCCTCGGCTACAGAGAGGGCATTGACGCACTGATGAGGTTTATGAATGGCAGATCCAAACCAGCAAGCCCCTGTGATATTTGGGGTAAGAAAGGGCTTTTATAACAGCACCTCTCCCTCCAGCTTTCTCCGCTCGAGGCCCTACCCCAAGGATAAGGGATACCGATGGACTTTGCAGGCGACGGAGCACTCGTTCCCAGGAAGAAGGGCTGCATCCACGTGAAACATCCCGTGGCACCTCCACCCCACGCACGACGGGGAGCCTGGCAGGCCCTGCTGCTGGCCGCCCCTTCCAACGACAATAAAACAAACTATTGTTTGAAATCTTGGCAAAACACGGCTCGTACATTGCTGAGGTTGCTCGAGCAGGATCAGCTTACACCAAAGCCCAGGCTGTTTCTGGGAGGAAAAGGATGCAGAAACCTATTGTGCAATCCCAAGGAGCGTGTCTGCGAGGATCCCCACGGTGCTATGGCTGCTCCCTGGTTCTTGGCTTTTAAATTCTCCGGTGAGACTTACCAGGTAAGCAAGCCAGGATGGATACTTTAGTTTGAAGACTTTTTCCTCATTCCACCAGCACCGTTCTCAGCATCACCAGCCGGGCACTCAAAATGGGAGAGAAGCACGCACAAATATAACCTGCTAAAAACACCCCCCAGCTGTGGCTGCTTCCAGGGCTTTATCTCTGGATGGAAACGACATGAGTGGATCAAGGGCGGGTCCTTGTGGCTCAGCAAGCGCAGACACAATCACCTCTTCCACTGTGATGGAAGTGCAGATTTCAGCAAAGCAAGAGGCAGGTACCTTGGGATAGACAGGCTGCTTTTCAAGGACAGTGGAAATCCCAAAAACTTAGTTGTGAGGCCTATTAAGAACTTCCAAATAGCCCCAAAAAACAACCATGGGAACGAAACTAGCTCGTCCCCCATAACCACGCTCAAGGCTGAGGTGCTGCGTGCGGCTCGAGATGTGTCCTCAGACACTCAGCACACGCAGCGTACAGGCTCTGTGGGGCAGGTCGCCTCTGAGGAGGACCCATGACAGCCCCACAGCCGATGACAAGGGACACGGACCGCAGAGCACGAGAGGACGTGCGAGGTGACCCAGCACATCCCCAGCGGGCCAGCACATCCCTCCTGCTCCTGCTTCCAGCCCGCGGTGCCGAGGAGGAAAGCGAGGCCCAGCCGTGCAGACACCCCTCGTGGGACTGTGCTGGTCCCCAAGGCGCAATCAAACCACCCTGCAGTCCCTCGTGGATGTAGGAGAGTCTTAGGTACTGCCACAGCTCTCTTCACCACTACAAATGCTGATTTAAGAAGGACAAATACTAGGGAAAATGAAAGGCATATGAATGGCAAATGAACGCTAAATGAAGCCATATGCTGGACCTGCCCTCCTCTTTAAGGAGAAAGGATAATTTCATCCAGCCCCTACGTTAAAGGGAATAACAACAGGGAGAGTCTATTGTGCTTTGTTCTAACTCAGAACGAGGACTTGGAAGTGTCATTGAATTTTCCTTCTTTCCTTCCTTCCTTCCTTTCTTTTAATTGACCATATAGACTTCCAGGTTGGATCAGTCCATTAAAAATCTGTATTTTTTCTTAAAAAACACCTCTGAGATTGAATAAATTGAAATTTTGTGACAGTTAAGGGGCAGTACTAATAGAGTATCACATGTTTTTAATTATGCTCTCCACTACATGCATGCAAAATTCCCTGTGTCAAAGGAATCCAAGCCTGCAATCACTCTGAAGAAATCAGTTTCTTCTTATGTAAACATATGATTCTGAAAGGAATGGTTATAATCTAGCCACACATTTTCAAATCCTGTTTTCCTTTCGCAGCACAAATATGCTGAATTGTTGCTCTTTAGAAAACACTGCAGCTCAGTCATCACAGCAGCTATGGAGCTACTGACCCTATTTCCATGCCTGCGCCTGGCCTGGTCCCCCTTACGTTGGGGCAAGTCAAATGAAACTCCACTTCAGTCAGTGGGAAGCTCTTATCTGAGTCTAAGCTGTTGTCTCCAGAGTTATTCTTGCCTGATGTAATTGATACTATGTTTGATATAGGTCCGAAATGTAAATGTAATGATCCAGAGCCACAGGATGAGGCAGATGATGCAGGAGAAATTGAGTGGTGGATGCAGAATGAGGAGGAATTCCAAAGCGGCTGGTTTGAAGGGATGCGGGGCCGGCACCAGAGCGAGGCAGACGCCGGAGACGGCCCCACGCAGCCCCTCGTTGCCCATCACCATCACAGAGCAGCAGGTTTGTGTCCCTGTTGCCTCCGGCTACGCTCAGACCAGACACACGGCACAGGCAGCTCTATCCCATGGACTACCCTGTCTGCTAAAAGCAGCAATTTATCCAAAGAAATGTTTAAACACACAGTAACAACAACAAAAACACACTGGGGCCACCTTCCATTCTGAATGATTTTCACTGCTGACTTAAGGCCAAACTCTGCCCTTACTTACAACGCAATGAAGTCTGAGCAACTCCGCTGAAGCCCTGGGGTGATTTTCAGGCATTTTCTGTGTGTTTTTCCTCTGCATCACTGTTTGCAGTTTGGCCCTCAACCCCAGGGCAACTTTTATGTTTCAAATCCAACAGTGGCATTTTCATTCACCTATAGACATTGTTATGTTCAAACACGTCACTCAAAAGCAAATGTAATTAAAACAAGCAAACAGTGAAAGTCTTTTCCCTTCATGCTTAGTATAATCAGTAGAGATTCTTTTTCTAAAGGAAAATAACGACATCTTCAAAAAAAAGAATCTCTGAAATGTTATCATTTCCTCCCTTTTCCTCACCCCAGACTCTCCACTGAAAATAGCACTTAGTGTACGTAAGCACACACACGTGCAGGTGAAGCAGTTTCTAGTCCTTCGCAAAGTATAATTTTAGACAGAAACAGAAATATGTCAGCAGAATTTTAATGAAATCCTTTTCCTGTTTTTTTGTTTGTTTGTTTAAATATAAAGCATGAGAGAGAAACACAGACTAGGACTATCAGAACATTTCAGCTGGTAATGCCTGTCGGGATAATTATTGTGCTTTATTACTAAAGAAGCCTCAATTCCTGCTCTGTTCCATTATTGTTCCAATAATACAGGACAATCTTCCTTTCTCCCGTCCCCCTTCAATAAGTGACAACAGGCACACTCTTCATGTAGCTGAACCTAACTTGCTTGGCAAACGTATATGTCATTTCACTTTAAACTTTTTGCTATCTTAATAAAACTTAATAAAAAGTGAGTTCTAAGGCTGCATTTCTGCTGAGATTTTTGCCACCAGGTGAAGTTTGTGCGTGGCTTATGGCCTGCCTTTAAAATGAGTCAGTATGTCAGGACTCCTCTCTCTTTTCATTTTTACCTCTCTCCAGGATACCAACTAATTGTTTCTCAAATGACCTCAGTGTTTTGGCTGCAGCTCTCCGAGCCTGTCTCCAAGGCTATCCTTCATGGTTATGAGTTTTCTGACATCTGTGTTAAATTCCATCACAGAATTACCCTACCATTGTGTCCTCCTGACCCGTTTCAGGATACACACTGCTAATTATAAGGCTCTCCCTAACTGAGAGTGACCTCTATGCCACATATCTAAATGACACTTATATTCTTATTGTGACAAACGCAGCAATGCTCACAATGCCTTAATCTTAAGAAACAAATCATTATAAAGCAGCTGAGTGATCAGAACACCTTTTTGTACAAGTTTGAAAATACTTTTCCATTTTTTAAGCAAGCCCCTATCTCAGGGCTCTGCCAGGCTCTGTTTTGGCAGGCTTTGCTGGTTATCATTTACAGTAACTGCCACGATAACTTTGCAGACGCACTTTTAACCGCAGCTTTTCAGGCTTCCTTGCTCAGCTGAGATGGGGCTTTCTTTCCATCCTGTTTTTGGTGTCACGACTCCAAAAGCTTCCCTGTTCTCCCGTGCCAAATGGCAGTGCTTCTGCAGCGGGATGCTCGGATCCTCCTGTGTGATGCCAAACTGCAGCACAGCAACAACTTCTACTGACATCCTTTAACTACAGCTCCCTGCCCTGGTGTTGCTCATCCCTGAGCCTGCCCTTGTATCTGCGTTCCTCCCCCAAGACGGTCTCTATCGTGTGTTTGCAAACTGCTCTGTGGTTGCCCGGCTCCAGGAACAACCCCGTGTATGACTGAGCACGCGCCGCAACGACGTACGAGGGCTGTCCCGAGCAATTCAGAGAGGGCATCCTACCGACTCCGGGGAGCCGCAGTACGTCTTAGTTTCACTTACAGAATCCCAGGACGGCTGAGGTTGGAAGGGACCTCTAGAGATCACCCAGTCCAGCCCCTGCTCCAGGAGGGACACCCAGACCACGGGGCACAGGGTGGCATCCAGGAGGGTTGGAAGATCTCCAGAGGAGACTCCACAGCCTCCCTGGGCAGCCCGTGCCAGGGCTCTGGCACCCTCTCAGGAACTACGAGGTTTTAATTTATACCCATTACCCCTTCTTCTGTCACTGGTCACAACCGAAAAGAGTTTGGCCCCAACCTCTTCACACCCTCCCCTCAGGTACTTGTACATATTGATCTGATCCCCTCTCAATCTTCTCTTCTCCAGACTAATCAGGCCCAGCTTGCTCCGTCTTTCCTCATACGATAGACGCTCCAGTCCCTTCATCATCTCCGTTGCTCTACGCTGGACCCTCTCAAGAGGGAAGAGGCTCCACATCCCTCTTGTACGGCGAGCCCAGCTGACTGCTCATCCACCACAGCCTGAATATACTTCATATAAACTCCGTCTGCCTCTCCCTCCTCCCACAGCCACAGAGACAGCCCTTGATGGCAAGAAAGCAGCGTTTACCTGGCTCCTGGGATGCTGTCGTGCTCCAGCTGCCGGCCGAGCAGCTTGGCTATGGCAGTGAAGCTGTTGCTCATGCGGTAGATCTCTCTGCTCTGCGAGCCCAAGATGCCGGAGAAGGTGTCGGTGAGGTTCTTAATTTCCAGCAAAAGAATATGGTGAAACGAGTGCTCCATGTTGGCCAGTTGGTTCACCAAATATATCAGGCACACTCTGGCTTGCTCCTAGGCAATGCAAGGAGATAAAAACAACTCTAAACAAACGCAAAAGCTCGCTGCCACGTGGATTCCAGGCCACCAGGCACCTTCCAGTCACACCTGCCTTTTTGGGCTGGTTGCTGTTACCGATTCTCTATATTTCTCAGTATTGCCTCAGAGTTTGTCTTTGCTGCTGCTACCCAGAGCCATGGGACTCCTTTGACTTAGTGTCCTGCGGGTGGAGGAGCACTCTGCGCTGCGCCCATCAGACCAGCCTCAGGCCTTCCTCCACGTACAGGCCCCAACGCTTTGCGTTAAAGCAGCTCCCAAATCACCCAGCGTCCCTGTTCTCACAGCAACTGCTTTGAAAGCAGCGCTCAGATGAGAACCATGACTAATTCCGCCACAACGAGACGGGCAGGATGAGGCTTCGTTTCAAGACCCCATCGCGCGTGTTGAGCTGCTGTCTGGCAGCCACATCCATCACGGCCCACACAGCGCCCGTCGGATCTGCCACCGGAGCGAGGGCTTCACCCACCTCCTCATCAGCGAGGCCGGGTCCCCCCAGGCTGGGGTTAAAGGGACTGCTTCCCATCATAACAGAAAAAACACAAATCAAAAATACTTCATCATCGCTCCCTGGCAAGTGTGAACGATCCAAACTATTCATGTCTGTATGTCAATTAATTCAGATACTCAAATACAAACCTGCAGGTAAGAATAGTACTAGGGCTCCCTTGCTTTCTTATAACTGCCCCAAGTGTATTACAGCCCCCAAGCCTAAAAACACGCGAGTGGGAAAGGCGCAGAGGGAAGCGGTCAGCCCAGGGGTCAGGTGCCGACGGGCAGTTTGACCCACCGGCCTCGCTGCAAGAACAAGAGCAGCTTCTGCTCGTCGGGCCTGCCCTGCAAAGGCACTTCAGGAAAGCAAAGAAAGTCTCTTCTTCCCAGAAGCCAGCGGGGAAGAAGGGGAAGCCACGTGCCATACCTGCACTCAGAGCACTGCAGGGCAGCGGCGATATTACCTGTATCCTTCTGGGACCACAAAACAGGAGGAAAAAATTGCTGAAAGTTTTATTCTAAATACAGCTGGGCCATAAAAAACACTGGAGATTTTGGCAGGACACTGCCTAAATATCACAAGCGAGACATTTTTTAAAGAAAAAAGTCAACTCATTTCAAACAAAAGAAGATCTGCTGCTCTGCGCCATGACAAAGATAAATGGGAAAAGTGTAGCAGACAAATTGCTTCCCTTCAGCCATATGGGGGAAAACTACCGATACGTCGACGTTTGGGATGGCGCGGGGTGATGGAAAGCTCTATTTCCTCAATGGTTTGAAAGAGCTGGACTTTCTGGTACATATTCAACAGTTTATTTGGGAGACATTCCTCCCTGTGAGAGATAAACACAGGCTCAATTAACATTTAAAACACATTTTTGTTTCCTAAACAAACTGTGTGGCAGACGTAACTGGAAGAGAGGTTTCGACCATTTTCATGTCACTTGGATCCAGCTGGACCCTCTCCAGGCAGGCTCAAATGCTGCTACTCGCCTGCAGTGGGGTAAAAGAACAATAAACTCCAGGCAGTAACACAATACGTGGCTGTTCCGCAAAACAAAACCATAGCAGAATGGCTCAACATGAAAGCCATCATTATCTCTGCCACAATTTTTACCCCCGAAAATTCAGAAAGCTTGTCTGGACATACATAGCCCACTGCTATTTTAAGAGTGCTTATTTTGTGCATTCGCATGCCTTATCATAAGCATCTCTTGTGTTACGGCATTAGTTTATCTGCCAGTGGGTAAAGATTAAAATATCGGCAACGAGGTGTGGCAAAATACTTTGCCGTAAAATCAGGCTCAGGAGACTATAAAAGAGATCAGACAGATTTCAGAAGAAATTGCGATTTCCAATTGTTTCAAAATGTGTAGCTATTGCAAAAAATATTAAAATGCCCATTTGACTTATACCCCATGATGGTGTTTTGCTTTGCACAAGTTTATGATTAAGGGACAACTTCTTATTTCAGCCTCACCCATGAGACTCTCGGTGACATCAGGAGAAGTGGGGTGTATAAACAAGACGGCCTTGAAAAGAGAGGGATGTTTTTTCAGCCAAAAGCTCTCATCTCTCCGGGGGTTCTGCCTGAACTGCCAAGGTGGGGAAGGCCGTTCAGTACGAGCACAAGAGGCTGCTTCTAGAAGGCAGCAGAAGCTGTTTCCTGCTCAGAGCTGCAATCTGTATTAAACGGGGCAGCCCTCAGTCCTTACCACCTCTTTTCCCCAGGTAAACTCCCAGTAAAATAAAATATGAATACATAAAATTCCAACGTTACCACTATCGTTTCACTCTGCAGTTTTCTTTGGCTCAGGAGGGGCTTCGCGATGTTGATTCATGCCTATAGGTATCAGCTAAGAGTGTAGGTATAACACAGCTCCACTACAGGGAAAGAAAGGGAGGAAAAAGCAGCCTTTCAGGAAGGCATTTCTAGGAAGACGCCACAGTGGCGGGCTGGGGATAAGGACAATCCTGAGGGGACACGTGGGCAGGTACAGAAAGGCTGCTCCGCTCTGCCAAGCCCTTCTCCACTACTTGGACACACTCGTTACTTAGGTATCATTTTAGATACTAACGAGGAGGGAACGGAGCTGTTTGTCTCCCGTGGGAAGGTTCACCTCTGCCACCCTTCTCATGCTGCATTTATAAATGTTTTTTTAGCACGCAGGGAAAGGTCTCCGGGCTGTCTCCGGAGCACAGCCCGCTGCAAACACATCCAATGCATGTGGCCTGGCCAAATGGTAATGTTCCTGGCTGCGCGCGGCAACGCAGCCTCCGCCTGGCCAGCAGGAAACAGCCCGGAGGCCACGGGACACAGGCCCCGCTCCCGAACACCAGGGCGCTCGGCGAGGAATTGCTCCCGGCAGGCCAGCGGACGCGGCTCCGGAGCTCCCGGGCGATGCTGCCTCCTCCGTGGAGGGCAGAAACCAGCCCGGCCGCGGCAGCTGCTGAGGAAGGGCAGCTCTGCTGGGCGGCCCAGCCACGGTGGCACTGCGGCCCCGAAATGAAGAGCCAAAGGAGGAACGAGTGCTCTGACATCAAACAGGAGTGATGCCTACTTGCATATTTATCTCCACACCTTATTTGTTCAGAAAGGCACTCTTAGCCTGATCCCTATCAAATAGCCTATTTTCATATACATGCTGTCTCCTGCTCCCTCGGAAGTGCAGGTTAACCCAGCTACCAATTCACTCTCAGAAGCAGTTACCACGTCCACGGAGCGTCACACGCAGGCAGGACTAACGCTGGGTACAAGCGATGTTAATTCCTGTGGTTTTGCAGGGGTTTGGTAACTCCTCAATGACATTTACTGTGCCAAAGAACCACAGCACGGAGGAACTCGCCTCCAGCCCCACCTCCCGCTCCCGAATCCCAGAGGCCACAGCTGGGATCCTGCCCGCTCTCATCCGGCTCCCCCATTCCACAGTCTCCCAGGTTAAATCTGCAGCTGTCAAATTTAAGAGTATCTTTGAGGCAACCCAGAGTCAGAGCTGTGCAACGGAAGGTTTCCCTTCAGGCTCCCTGAAGGATGCGGTTTGCACCCTTAGCAGCGCAGAGCCCGAGGTCACACAAGGAGCCTGGCTGGGGCGGACGCTTGTACCTGAGTGCCCGGGTCACGTCAAGGCAGCCGCACGGCACCTCTGCGTGGTGGCACCTCTGCGCGGTGGCACTTGTCCCTCTCCGAGGTCTCCGGGGCTCCTTCCTCACGGATCAGGTATGTGCCTTGATGAGGCTGCCAGGGAGCTGCCCTGTGATGCGCAGAACAACCCGCATCTTGCACAACCCCGGGGACGCTTAGGGGACTAGCCCTGGTTCGGGGCCAAGAGAAACTGTTTTCTCTGGAAAGAAAAATCTCTCTGGAGATTCTGATGCCACTCATTGCTGAGCACGTTATCATCTGTATCTCAACAACTGTAAACAAAAGCAACGGTCACAGTAAAGGCAGAAGACAAATATGTGGAGGATTCACCCCTGCACAGGAAAACGATGCCATTTTTCTTCCCTCCTCCCTTTAAACTGGTTTCTATGGGACTCAAAGGACAATTAAAAAGTCAAATTTGGAAAGACAAAAGCTTCAGTGAAATATTTACCCAATAATTACTCAATAACCCTCATCTGATAAGTTAGAGTATTTAAGATCTAAAGTTTATAAAGAATTGTTTAATTTATATGGAGCTATTGTGCCTTGCCTGCTGAGCTAGGAAGCCAACCACCCACTAATGGAGAATGGTCTTCCACATATTTAGCCACAGAGTAAATGATTTCCCTTCTAGCAGAGAAATTGCTAAAGAAAGACCCTGAACTCTGCAGCCTGTCTATACATGGGACCCACGAGAAAGCAGCAGGACGTGATGGCAAAATGGGTGATGATCACTAAGCCAAGGGAACCACCTGCAGAGGGAGGTGGGAAGAGAGAAGAAGAGATGATGATAAGAGGACAGAAAGGAGAAGAGAGAGAAGCCAAGACTGACTGGTGTTTCCTCAGAGCCAAAACATTACTTTTGTACTAAAACTTCAATAGACAGCTTATGAAAATAAGATTTAATAGAGTCTTTTAAAACATTTAAGATAGTCAATGAGCCAAGTTTGGATTTATACACAGGACCAATTTCTGGAGCCTTTATACAGACAAACTCCAGTTGACTCCGTGCATGTTTTGCCTAAGGAATTGCTGAAAGGACAAGGAAACCGCAGGATTCGCTTTTTGCTGAAATAAATTATCAAGTTACTGTGCTATAGGCATCACCGTCACACTTCAGTAAGTGTTTATGTTTATTACATAGCATTCATTTTCTAGATAAATAATCAAGTTCTGCCACAGACTTAAAAATGTGAATAATGTACCAGAAACTCTTTGAATTCAGGAGACTGTTCTGACTCTACAGGCCAGCGATGTGAGGCTGCAGCCTATGAATAGTGGTGAGCTTACACCCAAGAACAAATACAGAAACTCAGTAGAAATCATGACGTGCCATAAACACATCTGATCAGTTTGGTGTCCTCAGGACACCCGGAGTCTCAGTAAGACCCTTTGATCGCCCATGGGTGGGGGTAGTTGGGGCTTGGTAGCCCAGTGACTATGAGTCACTGCAGAGTCAATCTAAAGAGAGACGGTGACACAGATGCCACCAAGTGACTGACCGGCTGCGTTTGCCCCTGCAGAGCTGCAGGGTGCTGGGAGTGGAGCATTCCCAGCCGTTCCCAGAGGACAGACAAATACTCAGAGGCATTACTTTGTACAAGATTTAGCCAAAAAAAACCAAACCAACAAACATTTTTGGTTTTAAACTTACCTCATCAATATGTCCAACAGCCCCAAAGATCTTGGCTGTTTGCCCAATCAAGCTTGGAAAACTCTCACCAACTTCTTTTAGCATTGGAAGGAAAGTGGCCAAGGCTATTGGCTTGTAGCTAGATATTTCTGTAAGGATGTTTAAAATATGGTCACTGTAATTAGGGTTTCCTAAGTGTCTCATTAGGAATGGAATACCCTCTTTCAGCATCTATTAAAAAAAAAGGAGAGAGAGAAATGGATTGTCAATATATGTAATCAAAGGAGGTACAGTACATCGCAGTGACAAAAAGGAAACACTAGATTTTGATTTAGTAAGATATTTTTCTAGCCTCACTGACCTTTGCATAAAGCTATCCCTGAGGTCAATAGGAGTTCAGCTCAACATATGGAATAAAGGTAACTTGTAGCCCTGAAACATTGCAGTTATGCATATATAAGTGAGTTAATGCCCAATTGCTAAAAAAAGAAAAAAAAAAAAAAGAAAAGAAAGAAAGCCTCACCAAGTATTTCCCTTGCTCTGGGCCAGTCCTACACTTCATTGAGTCAAACAACATATGAATTAGTCTTCCCCAACAATGCAGTAAATTAAAGTATGAGTATAAATGTCTGGTTTTCCCCAGGAGGCTGAACAAAACGACAAGGTTAATAGCTAGAACAGCCCAAAAAATATAAAAAGGGGGAAGGGAGGACAAGATCCTCAATGCACAGAAAATGGTGCAGACAAGTTGTCATTTCTTATAGCAGCAGAGGCTGAGGATCCTTAAAACCCTGCAGTAAGGAGAAGGTAGCGTGTCAGCTACCTAACCCTGTTGTGAATAATTATTTTGCACTTACACACACATACACGCATATCTATGTACACACATATCTACCAATAGACCTCTGAACCGTGCAACTGTTGTCGCCTGCGCAAAACATATTTCACTGTAGTTACAGACCATGAAGTGACCCATTCTTCAGTTGCTTTTTCTTGAGACTTATCAGTCTCAGCAAATTGATACATATCACTGGCAAAATACTGAATTTGGGTGGTCTGAATAAACTGTTAGTAGTAATAAATGATAATATTTAGGATTTATACATGACACAGAAAAAAAGAACAGCATGAAAATGAAATAATTCAAAACTTATGAGGATCAAGGATAAATATTTGCATTTTAATATTACAGATAGATCCTACACCCACCAAGGCCAAGGGGAGGCTTTCCACCAACGTCAAGGGGCTTTTGGGGATGTTCTGAATGGGTAACTGGGTATTTCTTGGTTTAAAAATGTGTGTTTCGCAAAGCCACAGTCCTCTCTTGCAGCAAGTACTTGGAAGAGCTTAACATGTGTCTGCTTTAATCAGCTCTTAACTCATTTTAATTCTCCTTGATGAATTATTTAATACAATTATATATATATATATATATTTACATATGTTTACATATATGTATCCTAACAGAATTGTAGTTATTGGAACTAATACTCAGCTGGCACGAACAGCCCAAAAGGCAGAGAACAGCTCTGGCTTAACCAAACATTTTGGTCCAGCAGAGTCCTTGTAAAGTTCCCCTTGTGATTTAAGATCTGGAATGGACTTGAAGAACTTACACGGAAACAAAGTGCAAAAGCACCGTCACGTGCGCTGAGGGAGCCGTCCCGTCCTGCGGGCAGCCAGCAGGCAGGCGCTACCCAGTTATCCCAAGCAACTAAAGCTCCTCCAAGAGGAGGTGTAACACGGAGTGGTGGTTTTTCCCAAGTATAGTTTTACCCCAAGCTCCTTCTTCCTGGCCAGCGTGTGGAAGAGCCTCAGGAGGTGGTGGTGTTCGGCCTGGTCCAGCTGCGCCACGAGCGCCACGAGCTCCCCCAGGTGCCGCGTTATCGGCTGCGGCTGCTTCTCGTACAAGGCCGGCAGGACGCGCAGCAGCATGGAGTTCCCTGTTAACAGAACAAACCAGAAACCCTCCAAAAAATCACTGCCCCGGAACCGCCTGGGGCATCACCCCAAAGCCAGGGAGACCCCGGGACGTCAGCTCACACCTGGAGACACCCATTTCTAAGAAACAGCAGCACAAAGCCAAGGAGGCATAAAACTCATTGCAGAAAAATGCATGCTGGGCCAGGAAGCCTAATAAATAAATAACCTAGGAAGAATTATTTGAGGTATAACAACATGGGAGTAGGAAATATTTACCATTAATTATAATTTTCAGTCTTAAGTACAAAATCATGTCCTTGTGGCTGCTTGATGAGTTTTCAGATTTGCATGATACTCCACAGAGTCTGAAACCAGACTAAGTGTGACTTAAATTAATCAGAAAAAAAAAGAAAAAAGCCAGAAAGCACATAAAAGCTATATTTCTCCTTTGTTGAGACTCAGACATTTAAATTAAATAACCATCATATGGAAAGAATAGTCAGTTATTAAGAGACCTAAATATGCATGACACTAAATTTGAACATAAATAGTTAAGGATGTCATTTCCAGGAATAGAAAGGAGCCAGAGAGAGAGTCAATTGCAGACAGAGATATGCAAACCCCTCTCTCACACATTTTCTTAAGATGTCTGCGCATAATTCAATTTGAAACCCTGGCTCATACCAAAATATATAACTTCACATCGCTGTACATGCCTGCCTCAATATATTTGAGTTTCACTTGAACAACATATGGAAAACATCTGCCTGGTGCTGTATAGTATGGATCATTTTTGTAAACCCTTGAAAGTCCTTACAGTCTCGTTGGATTTGGTTTCCAAGAGGAACAGGCACTCTGGCCTGCTGCTTTTTCTCCCATTTAAATGTGAGCCCTGCAATTCTGGAAGATAAACAGGTCACTTCATGCATGGCAGAAGGAGGATACGGGGGTCAGGCTTGGCCACATCAAGCTCAAGCCAGACATAGAAAAAACACCCCAGGACACCACGAGGTCTCACAACATTTTCTCTAGTCACTAAAGTAACTAAAATATAATTCTAACCAGGCTCAGCAAACTTTCAGTCAGACCAGCTTGTAACGACCCTTGAGGGGTCCTTATACTTAGAAGGAATGAAGGAATTCAGCCAGACCTTTGCATCCTATTCCGAAGCACTTATTTTGCTTGAATCCTCTGGGGCTTCTCCTTGAAGACAGCTCTGAGCCCTCCTGGCCACCAGGGCAGCACTAAAGGCCATGGCAGGGGTCACATCCTGACATCATTCACATGGACATGGAGAATTTCCATGTTGTCCTAGTCCATAAATGCCTGTGTGTTGCACACCCCTTGTTTTCCGTAAGTGAAATCCCTGCTTGAAACCTCCTCTTCCCCTGCTCCTAAATCCCAGAGGTCCTCCGGAAAATCCTCCTGCTTAGGGATGCAGCTTAAGGCATCACTGAACAGGGCAAGAGCAAGAGCTGGGTCCCACCGAGCAGGACCAGGGAGGGCAACATCCACAGAGCCCAGCATGGCACCACCTGACTCAGGCTTCAATGAGATGGTGACAAGGTAGACGCATTCACTCGACACCTTCTTTCTACCTTACTCTGAAACGGGGAAGTTTTATTACTGCTTATACACTAAATTATTTCCTTTTCCAGATAATTCAGTGCTTGCAGAATAAGCTGTTCATGCCCTGCGCTTGCACCCCTACATGGGATAGGGCCCTGAAGCTCCAGTCACCTTTGAGTAAGGGTAACAACTCCAAGAGATGAGATTCCTAGGTACCTGGACAGGCAAAGTTCATCCCAAAATAAAAAAGAAAGGAGAAAAAGCAAAGCCTGGCAGCCCTAAAGGAGGAATGAGACACCGACCCGAGACATGCTATTGCCTAAATTGGGATATCATGCAAAGCAAGCTGTCAGCTCTGGGAATTAGCAGCAATTATTCCATCTGAGAAAACAACCATTTTAAATATCAGCTGCATTAAAGGATCAATGTAATTTGACGTGACATGATGGATTGCAGCCATGAAACTTCTCTGAACAGGAATACATTGTACAAATGTAAATGGGGGCAGTTTCATCCAGTTACTACCCAGTAAACATTACTGGGTTTACATTTACTGGCCACAATAAAGGAAAAAAAAAAGGGTAAACAAGAAGCAACCCCACTGCTTCTGAATAATACTTAAATGATCTCACTGACCTGGAATTGCTTTTAACCGAATAGCCTGTATACACAAACCCATAAACAGACAACACTGCTTGTGTCTGTTCCTCCTGCAACTCAGGGAAGCAGGATCCAATTCTTTATTTTCTCAGATTTTCTCACTTGCTGAAAACACACCGAACAGGCCGTGCCATTTCTTTGTCATCTCCCTCTCTTCAACTTGCAGGACACTGGAGCACGTGCAGCTCTCCAACCTCCAGGCCGCTCAACGCTCGGCTCCGAGTACCTCGCTCGTGCTCCATCCTGCTTTGCCTGTCTGAGCCTGAACTGCAACTGAACTGAACGACAGAGTGTTTGCCACCGCAGAATGGAAAAACCTTCTTAATTACCTCCTCTCCCTCTTCCTCCCGCTGCCACCCTTGTCCCCAGTCCTTTCCAGATCGGATTTTCCAGGCAGACCACACACTGAGAATGGCGCGCTTCCTTCGGGAGCGGAGGTGGGCACAGCCGACGGCACACGGGGAGAGGAGACCGCGTTTCGGGTGACTCCATGGAGTCCTTCCCCCCAGCCATCCCCGGGCTCCCTGCAGCTGGACATGGGGACGTGCCCTGTGTCGAGGGCTCCCGGCACCGCTCATGCAGCTGCATCTCCCATGGATGGAGGCAGGACACGCAGGAAATCCATGGAGGCGCAGAACCCTCTTTAGGTGGCACCACCTAGTCCTGTAAAGGCACAAGTATGAGGGCGAGGCACTAAACTAGAGATTCCCACTAAAAAAGGGGATGCAGAACACCCAACAGACACAGCCGTACATGCTGCATGTACACGTACAGCAGATACACGCTTTCTCCATCCTCCAAAGATGTTGTAGCCAATACGTAATTTATACCATCCTTCTGTTACCCTCGGTCTTGCCCAAGCAATTCCTGAAATAATCCTTAACTCACTGAGCTTTCCAAAACCTAAGACGGAAACTGTGTAGTTTTAGACAGAATGTGACAATAACAAGAATATTTAGCATTAGATTAATGCTTAATCCAAAGATGCCTCACTTTGTTTTCAAGTTAACTGAAACTACGCTACTCATCCAGCTGCTAATTTACTGGCTCCTGAAACAAGATACTGGGGGTAATGAGTTATCCAGAGTTACAATGTTATTATAAGGAATTAGAGCTAGGAATGTAAAAATAAAATCCTAACAAGCTATCGCACTTTTTGGGTTCTCAATTGCTTAAAACAGTGAATTGCTGGTAAGACAGGAGTTTTAGATATAACCATGGAAAAAGCTACAACGTTTAGGTGGAACCACACGCTGTGTCTAACCCAGCTGCGGGTCGAGCTATTTTCCTACCAGCCCTTTGCAGCCCCCCGGCTGTACGGGCTGCCGAACGGGTGTGCAGCA